TTATGGAAAAAATGCCCTGTTGTGCTCGCCATGTCCGTCTGTCTGTCTGTCTGTCCGTCCGTGACTTCACGTTTTCGTCGACGAGAAAATGCGCTCTCTGTCACTCACTGCAGTGAGTACTGAGTTATATTTTTTTACCATTTTGCCGAACGGGTCCAAAGAGCCAAATAAAATTTGAAGATTAAATACAAAAGAAAGGCTTTTGTTTACGGTGGAATTTCTTTAGTTTACACTTATGAATATCATATATACATATATTATATTATACATATATAAAATTTCTTCTTCGAATTATAATCTATTTTTAGGCTTTAGTTTACGAAGGTTTTCAGAAACCATTTTTTTGAACACCCATACGAGCCTAGAAAATTACAACGAAATTATATAATTAATTTTGAATTTATATTATTATTATGGCTTTTCAACACGTACCTTCAATGATATTGAGAAGAAACTCTTGCAACTCGGGCTTTGATTCTCCTACACTCGTGTTGCATTAACTAATAATTAATACAATTCATTCTAAATATCAATGTAATGTCACTAATAATGGTTTACTACAAAATATTAGTTCATTTTCTTCACAATTACTGCTTCCTAGTTTTGATACAAGTGCGAGCAGCAATTTTCGGATGAATCGAGTTTTCGAGTATTTACGATCGGGAGAGAATTTACTGAAAGAAATAAAAAGTTACTGATCTTATAAATGCGCTTAACATTCAAGATAAAACGATGGAGTTGTTTCTGACTGCTTAAATAAATGCCACGATGTGAAGGTTTCTTTTTCATTGAATTTTTGAATACAAACGTAATCTTAGATTTAATTCCGATAACGTTTAGCGATTAATTATTCCATCATTTAGATAAATGCTAAGCATTAGTAATTTTTTATATATAAATCTTTAGTTTAGTTTGTTTTTCTAAGTCACATTTGCTACTATTCAACTAATTTAATTTAATGTTTAAATAATATTATATATAGGCTTTAAATTAAACTATAAACTAACTATATAGGCTTTAAATTAAACCTTTAATAAAATTCTCTCATTGTCATTAATATCTATGTCCGGAAACTCTCTTTGTTCGAGGCCTTTGCCCCTACACGAAATAGGCCATGAATAAATACACTTGCACACATTTCGACGTGCTCTACAAAATATCACACAATCTCTTTCCCGACGTCTACACAAATACAATTTACAGCACAGCGAGATTTAGACTAAACAACTCTTCGAATCAGCTGAATATCTTTCAATTTTTCAAGCATAGCTATTCAGTTGGTAGTGAGTCTCCCAAGGCTGGCTGTTCACGCCGAATTCAGAGTCAGAATGAAATATTCAGTGTCATATTAAATCATATTCAGTGTCAGAATTAAATATTCAGTGTCATAATTAAATATTCAGTGTCATATTAAATCATATTCAGTGTCATAATTAAATATTCAGTGTCATATTAAATCATATTCAGTGGCTGAATTAAATATTCAGTGTCATATTATATCATATTCAGTGTCTGAATTAAATATTCAGTGTCATATTAAATCATATTCAGTGGCTGAATTAAATATTCAGCGTCATATTAAATCATATTCAGTGGCTGAATTAAATATTCAGCGTCATATTATATCATATTCAGTGTCAGAATTAAAATGCTGAGTACATGCAAGCTTTGGGATGGAGGTCATACACTGATTTTATTTGAGTTATTTTCTACTACACTTCAGATTTATTTGAATTTCCTCGCAAACTCCTTGAAGCAGATAGCAATTCTATGATGCATTATTAGAAATGGAAAATGAATGAACTGAAATTATTTAGCGTTTCTTTTTTCACAATTTGAAGTTTTCTCAGCACTCATTTCCGAAACCAGCACTTGTTTTCTTTAACCGTTAAAATTTCTTTCAAGTTGTTTAAGTTTAATTCGGTTAAAATGCTAAAATATTTTATTTAATAGTGACATTTAATATGCTATTAAATGTCACTTACCAATTTCAATTATATTACAGACGAGAACAAGATAAAAAGGAAGTCAACGTCTCCTGGAATCTGGTGAACGAAACCAAGCGAAGCGACAGACGCTTCCGCCCTCGACAGCGCCGCTGCCACACTGGCATGCCGGCACCTCACCACCCTAGTCACCACCCACCCTTCACCACCCTAGTCACCACCCACCCTTCACCACCCGAGTCACCATACCCCTCACCACCCACCTCTCACTACCCAAGTCACCACCCACCCCTCACCACCCAAGTCACCACCCACCCCTCACCACCCGAGTCACCACCCACCCCTCACCACCCGAGTCACCACCCACCCCTCACCACCCACTTACTTGTTACTTAACTTAACTAGGTCTAGTAACTTATAAATATAAACAATAGAACCTTAATTTGCCCCATTCTACTATATTCGTATTGCCACTTCATTAAATGAAATGAAAAACTGAGTAATGACAATAATAATACTCATATTCGAGACATCGATACCGGACATGATTAACACCACATGTCGCTGTCAAGTAAATGAAATGTCAGACTCAACTTAACACAGGTACGAGAATGTAATTAACATATCAACAGTTGATGAATGTATATACATCACCACCTACACTAACACCATGTAGTCGCATATCCCCTACCAATGTTTGAAAAATATATATTCAACCACTGTGATGACATCACGCCAAATTACATTAATAAGAATGCTTCCACCACAACATTCACCACCCAAAAGCATCACCTCCGCAGTATGGCCTCAGCAGCAGCAGCAGCAGCAGCAGCAGCAGCAGCAGCAGCTATCACTCTTATCTGCCTCAGCACTTGCGATGTGTCTCTCAAGTCAGATAAGTGACACGTGCTTTATACTTTAGTTATACTCCCGCGTCAGATAAGTGACACGTGCTTCCTGTTGAATGTTGTCTCCCAATTCCAGTGAACAATTTCGCTTGAATCCATGCTAATTTTGGGTGAATTTTAAAGTGCGTATAAAATGAAAAATATTGAAATATGTGTTTAAAAATTAATTTTTAAAGACAGCATTTCTAAACAATCCAGTGTCTCTGATGCTACACATGTACAATGAATTTCAAATTTTATTTTCAAATATTGAAGAAAATTAATTTTTAAATTTTCATTTTCATATAAAAAAATCTAAAGTTTCAAAATTATTTATTCTGTCAATTTATTCATGCATTGTGTCTGACATTACGAAAGTGTGCAAAATTTCAGATCGATAGGAAAAATAGAAGTGTGTTAAATTTCTATTATAAGATTTGTAGCAGACAGACATACAAACAACAAGAAGTTCAGTTAAAGAAAAGTGTTGTAGAATTAGGGACTGGTATGTTTGCGCGGGTTAACACGTTGACTACGAAGTGGTACATAAGCGTATCACGAAATGTATTTCTCCAGGACGTAGTGTACATAATTCAGGTTAACTAAAATTGGCCAAATCCGAGAACAAAAAAGGCTAAAAAAACCGATAACTCAAAATATATTTATAGGTTTATATTTGTAGGTTCCACTATAAAAATTCCATTTATTTTTTTTGCAGCATTTAAAATTTAATTAGGAAGTACCCCTATCATAAATTTTAGCCGGCCAACGCAATTGGCCGGAAATAATGACCGTCTGACAACCCTGTTTAAAAACAGTACAAAAAATGAAATAAAGTACAAGATGAAGCAATGGTAGTCAACGTGTTAATTAATCTTATGTAGATGTGATTCCAGCAAGAAACGACCGTCTGAATCCTAATTATGGTGATGATCTATCATGTTTTATTTGTCGGAAAACATTTCGCATGTGAACAACAGCGCCGACACAAAGAAACTTCATGAAATTCAGTTAGTGAAACTATAGTTAGTTCATCCCAATATGGTGATAAACCCTCTGCTTCATAAGCATAATTTACATCATTAATTTATTAGTATTTCGGGTTCTACTCTTGTTTTTGTAGAATGTATGAAGAGATTATCGTAATCAGCTGAAAGAGACGACACCCCGTGATTATTATTTACGATTAACAAAACTTCGTGATTATTATTTATGATTACCAAGACCCCATGATTAATATTAAAGATTACCAAAACCACGTGATTAATATTTAAGATTACCCAGACCCCATGATTAATATATAAGATTACCAAAACCACGTGATTTACATTTAAGATTACCAAGACCCATTATTAATATTTAAGATTACCAAAACCACGTAATTAATATTCAAGATTACAAAAACCACGTGATTAATATTTAAGATTATCAAAACCACGTAATCTATATTTAAGATTACCAATACCCAGCGATTAATATTTCTTAAAATCTGTGGAATGCAACTGAGATTGATATTAATTATTCGTTTTGCCTTTACTTGTTGGTTAAAAATTAATTGATAATTTAAATGAAATGTCTCAGAATCGTAGTATGAATACTGGATAAGGAATGCATGATGAAATAGATAACATGATAGTAGATGAATTAACTTTGTATTAATGTTGCAATTAATCTTATTAGTTGTCCACTTTCCGCCTTCGAGAATCAGTTTCATTTTCATAGACGCGCACGAAAATATCGATGCATCATGTAGTACAATAATATGAACAAATTCAATAGTTTTGGAATTTACATACGCTACAAAAATTTCTATTATTTTAATCTTTCAGCATGCATGAAAATATCCCTTGTGGAACGAATGTCAGTAATGTGTAAAACAAAAGGGTAGTTCCGGATGAATCAAGAATGTTATCTGCTTTTTTTCAATTTAGAATTGTTTAAGAAGCGTGCAATGAAAGACCGTTTGTGCAAACGTGCAGGCTTGTGCAAAGGCTTGCAAGATCGTGGAAACGCAAAATTGTCGGTTAACATTCATTGGTTAACCGGCTATTGCAATGTTCGGTGATAGGATGAAAATTCAATTTTTTCCAAATCAAGGGCAATTCAGAAATTCAATTCATCTTTGGCTCGAGTAAACCAGGTGATTATTCAAGTTGTGGTTACTTACCTTGTTGGGATGAAAGCTGCCATGTCAGTCAGTGTCTTGGGTCCAGACTAAAACATTCGATATTTTTCTTCAAAACGTTCATGCCACTGACATTAAAAGGCTGCATGTCGCAGCACCAGCAAAGAGCACGAAGTAATCAGAGATTACGTTGGCAAATTAGATAATAACTGATTAAAATTAAGGTCGTAGAGTTCGATGATTCATTCATTAATCCCTATTTACTAAGTTCGTTTTCGTTGCGATTCTCACCTGTAGGAATGAAACCGTTGAAACGTTGTTATATTTTGTTGAGACTATACAGTATATAGCGTACGATCAAACGTTCTAGAAAACATTCGTTAAAAGGAGTATGAACTAATGTATTATAACCATCACAACCCATCAAGAACTTTATATCCAAAAACAAAATGCAAATAAAATCATACTAGATACATTATCTGACCAATCCCTGTAAAAATCATGTTCAGAGTTCATTAATATATTAATTTAGAAGAACCAGATCAGCTGTGACGAGAATTTTTTCGGTTCATTCTAACTTCAAGTTAGAAGGAAAATTTCATATCAATCTTTTCCACATTCTTGAGTAAAATGGCGAAAACATTAATAACATTATCTTATGAAATTGTTTTATACATTAAGCGATGAAAGTATTCCGCAGTTTCAGCACAAAAAAAAAAAACTGAGAAGCATATTTTTTTTACTACTTTTATGATTAATGTATGTTTTGAACATAGATGTGTAATTGTGTAATTTTAAAATACGTATATATAAGAAATACATAGATATTGTACAGGTTGAAACTAACACATCGAATAAATCTGTCACTCATTAAGATTCATCTTGGTCCGCACAATACAATGTTTTATCGACGATTACTTGCTTAAAAGTTGAAGCATTGTTTGTACTCGTATTTTCCTAGCGATTGAAGATTGGTTCTACTGTAGCCTCAAGGAAAACAATAAACCTTTCAGACGCGGTTGTAACGAAAACCTTGGCAAACGCTTTGTATTTTACTTCTAAATGCGGAGACGCAGAGCTAGAATAACTCTGTATTCCACCTCTCTAAGATCCACGTCTTTATGTACGGCATTGTTGGTCGTATATGACCAAAACAGGCGGAGGGAGGCAGATAAAACATCGACGCCAAATCGTGCATCAAAACTTAAGGAATTTTTTTTTGCAGAACATGTCCTTGTAATTTATATTGAGCTGTCAAGTTTTGCTGTGGAAAAATATGACACTGAACTCTTAGATCAATCTTTTATGAGAAACGAATCCCAAAAGATGTGTAATCTAATGCAAAATTAAGAACGTTTTTCAGTTAATTTAGTATTTTAATAAAAATACATGAATATCTTGTACGCGCAAGTGCCAATGATTGGAAGAAATTTGAAGCGCAAGCATTTCTCTTATACCTCGCCGAATTTTCTTTGACGAATGGCAAAAAAGTCAGTAATATTCACCAATGAAAACTGAGAGAAACGTGAATAATTCAGCACTACAAGTTGCCATAAAACAATCGCCTTGCAATTGAGATAAGCCTCGTGAATATTTTTATATGTGTTGCTTGTTGACACGTTGGCATGCGTGTACCGCAGTGCGTGGTGGTCTCATACGTGGCATGTACGTGTACCGGATAGCCAGTAGTTCCGTGAACTTCCGTAACACTTTGAGTACTTAGCAGCGGTCGCATCGTGCGATTCTAAACAGAAACTATTTTATCCCGTACTTTAATATTTGATATCGAAAAGAACGACAATAACTTTTTGGTTATTTCTGAACGCCTTCTGGTGAATATTATTTTTAGTGCGAGTTTATGTAACTTTCATGTTTTTTTGTACTATTTTTGTCATATGGTAGTGTACTTATGCAATATAAATAAGAAATTTTCATCTAGGATATGTTTCTAAATACAAAAAAATTAGAGTATTTGCAGCTACGAAATTCGGTAAATAGGAAGAGAAATGGTGAGTAAATGTAATTATTCTGCCTCTCGAATCTCATGAATCCCTGTACATGCACGAAATTTTATTGTTTTGGCATTGTATAAAAGAATAAAAATAAAAAAATTATAACTTAGTACTACTCACTGCAGTGAGTGACAGAGAGCGCATTTTCTCGTCGACGAAAACTTGAGGTCACGGACGGACAGACAGACGGACATGGCGAGCACAATAGTGCATTTTTCCATAAATGAGAAAATGCGCTAAAAACAATGTAAACTAAAACTCATGGCTTCTGTGTATTGAAATAATTTTTTTATTCGTGGGAATCGAGTAATATTTGCAAGAATTTTCAGAAATATTAAATAAAAAATAATAAATGCATTAAAAATTACATAGAACTTCCATCTCTATACGTTCCAAAACCAGTAGATATTAAAAAATGACGGCTGGCCAGCCTTTTATTGTCTTTTAATATATTTTTTTGTATTTTCTTTGTTAATTCAAGTCCAGAAATAACGTGTCCAAAGTTTACTTAATAAATGCTTTCAACGCAATTATAACTTGACGTGCTCTGCTTAGCTGACCACATTCATATATCCTGAAGTTTACTAAAATTATTATTTCAATAAATAGGTTTATATGCCGGACCTAGATGTTATTTCCCCTTTATCGTTCTGTTGTTGATCGACACGTGAACGCGGAAGGTGGCATCAATCATCCAATTTCGTGGACAGCCTCGCTGACGCGCGGACGAGATAACAAGGTGTCAAGTAACTGATAACGAATGATTAAATTTTATCAACGAAAGCTTCATTGTCAGCTGCACAAAGATCTTTGACATGCATGACGACAATGCCTGATAATAGATTTCAGGTGCATGATTTGAATGTTTATTCAAATACTTGAGTAAATAACGTAAGTATTATGAATTTTTGGGTTAATATGGCCGTATATTTCCACACTAGAGTGAGTGCAACTTGGGCTTTTGAATTTGTGCGTAACTAAATACTAATTATAACGCTGAAATGTTTAAATGGTTCTGAATGGTTATTTTAAGAGTGGGAGTGCAAATAACCTTTGTATAATATATACACACATTTTTATATCAATTCTAAAAGTTGGAAGTCCCCTTTCATTCTTACACAGGTAAGCGCAAAATTCTTAATACTGTCACGCCCTGCTTTTTCTTTTCCAACTCCTTATAAAAATTCCTACTAATTTATTGAATTAACATGGGCATAATATTTTGCGTAGACTTGAAATGCAAGCTGCCTCCGTCCAATACTTATAGATTTTCAACATTTTAATGCGATTTTTAATACTTTAATTTAAATTACAGCAAATACTTGTTGAAAGATACGCATTGTTCAATAAACAATACGGTTATCATGATGGAGGCATGAGCCCGATTGATGAGCTGCGGTTATCACAAGGTATTATAGATAACATTTGAAAGCGTCACTCGGTGTCGTGTACTGAGAGTTACTATATCAATAATATGCGTTTAAAAAGTACTTTTTAAAGACCACACTTCTAAAGAGGCCGGTGTCTCCGCTGTTACACATGTACAATGAATTTTTATTTATTTTGAAATATTTAAAAAATTATATATGTAAAATTATTTTTAAAATATTAAAATATTACTTTATTTTATTTTTTATTCTATCAATTGATTCATGAACTTTGTCCAGCTTTATTGATTCATGTATTTTTGTCCGACTATACGCAAGTGTGCAAAATTTCAGATCGATTGGACAGGTAGAAGTGTGTTAAATATCGATTATAAGATTTGTAACAGACAAACAACAAGAAAGCAAGTAAAGAGAAGTGTAGTAAAAATAGCTCGCAACTCCGTCCGCCATTCACTGACGTATTTTCAAGCTAAACCCACCATTCACTGGCGAGATTCCAGCCTCTTAGTGCACCTAGGCCGCTAGGTAAACTTACGTCCCAACTGAACTTTAATTGGCCGCAACGTGAACATACGGCACTACATGTAAATAGGCAGCAACGTGTACTTAATTTGTCCGTTACGTGTACTTAATTTGGCAGCAACGTGTACTTAATTTGTCCGTTACGTGTACTTAATTTGGCAGCAACGTGTACTTAATTTGCAGTTACGTGTACTTAAGAGAGTTATGCGAGTGCGGCCCTGGACTAATGCAATTAACTCCAGTTCTATTTGAGAATCTTGATGGCACAGGAGTTAGAGTCGTGTATTGTTAATTTTTCCTGTCATTATTCAGTAACAAATTAGATGAGTGTGACGTCTGACCTGTTAAATAATCAGTCAGTCGATACGAGACAATTCGGTGACTAATGCGTGATTCATTAATCAAACTCTGAGGAAAGATATTCTCAGAAAACCTTGCCTTGCACATCACTTGCAATTATTATTGTTATATTCCAATTATTTGAAGAGCCAGAATATAGCGGCAGAATATAGTTCTTGAAGAATAGTTCACGAGTAGAGAAGATGAGAGTAAAAGAGAAAGAAGTCATTTCAATTTAACCAACAATCGTGAACTGGGAAAACAATCTTCATTCTTTTCAGAAATTTCCATAATTCATCTAGTTTATTATTAATTAATATAGAAATTTATTGATCGCACTCGAATAAAATCAAGAAATTTCAGGATGTGACCAACACAAGTTCTTGAAAGCTTCAGATAAGAACTAATTCGTCATGATCAATGGTCTTAACAAGACAAGTGGATTGTTAAGAAGGGCCCCAGGCACCGCGTACGGGCCCAGGCACCGCGTACGGGCCCAGGCACCGCGTACGGGCCCAGGCACCGCGTACGGGCCCAGGCACTGCGTACGGGCCCAGGCACCGCGTACGGGCCCAGGCACCGCGTACGGGCCCAGGCACCGCGTACGGGCCCAGGCACTGCGTACGGGCCCAGGCACTGCGTACGGGCCCAGGCACTGCGTACGGGCCCAGGCACTGCGTACGGGCCCAGGCACTGAGTACATTCTAAAACTTCACTCGATTGCTCATGAAAAAGTTACTCGTTATTTAGATACATTTTTATTTTGCTCCCAAATATCAAGCTAATGTCACTTGAATTACCAGATCTGTTGCTCCTGTTCCTCAGCCATTGTACTTAGTCAGGAATGACTAGTCCCCTATAAAATTTTCTCTTCGCGTGAGAACTGGTTTACGGCCTCTTGGCACCAGTCGTGTTTCCACTTTTTCCAAATCACGGCACTGATATTTTTCAGATAATCATCACTTGCACCTAGCCATACACTTCTTCCCAGTCACCCTAGCCACTAGTTAGAGCTCTGGTCCCACTAGCTCGTAGTGAGGGAACCCCTCAACTGCAACTGGCCCCCTCACTGCCCTCAGACTGTCATGTAACTGGCCGCCTCACTGCCCTCAGACTGTCATGTAACTGGCCGCCTCACTGCCCTCGGACTGTCATGTAACTGGCCCCCTCACTGCCCTCAGACTGTCATGTAACTGGCCCCCTCACTGCCCTCGGGCTGTCATGGCAGAGCTACCGCTGCTTCTGTCATCCTCTATTACAGGCTCAGCAGTGACACCGTTTGGCTTGTTTGCGTTCAGATTCATTTTAATGTTTTTCACGATATGTCACTGACATTGGCTTCAGTAATGTAAATAAGGGCCAGAGTAAAGTTAAATACGAGTATATAAATTTTGACGGAAGAAGTAATGAAGTGAATATGAAAACATCAAATTTACCACACAGTTAGACGTTGCATGAGTATGTATTAACTCAAGCAATGCTAGTAGCCTCCATAATACTAATTGTAAACTTTCACTTTACGAATTAATGATCCCATTAAGTCCATTTCTTTCTATCAAAATGGTTGCTTATGAGAATTCAGTCAACAGTCACCGCTAAACACATGATCAAATAAATCTCTAAATTTGCAAATGTTTTGTCCAAACTTTTCAGCTGGTACATCATCATTAGTTTCTAGATGCAACCACCCACCATTACCAACTTTTACACTTCCTTGTGACAGCGCTATGACTATTTTGTGTGTATTATTTCAAACTCATGTCCATGCATTCATTAAACTCGTAACACAGTTCAAATTTTCATAGAAAATTCATCGAACGACGCAATCATTCCACTTATTTCCACATTCTTTTGTTCGATACAAATTAGTTATACTGCATTGATGACACTCGTTAAATACTCATGTTTTTAGAATATTTGTTGTGCCAGGCAGACTTGTTTACAGTGTTCCCGCCTGATTTGTTTACATCATCAATTTCATTCACTTAAGAATGCTTGACAGGGGCTATTGCTGCTCTGAATTTTCCTTCCATCATTTATAATTTCGGTCATAGCAAACACCGCAGCGACGGTCGTCAAAAAATCAACACGAAAATATTTTAAGTCACAACAGTCAGCCTGTGATGGATAAACTCTTACGGGAGCACAGTGCATAAGTTCATATGAGTTCAGAAGAATTCACTAAAAATATTACCGCAGTCATAAATTTCTGATTCGGGTCGGCCTATATATGTCTCGGAATTGTGAACTTTTGGCAATTTTTGAGTCGTCTTAAATGTACGTGTAAAGTTTAAATTGGCCCGAAAATTCTAATAAATGTATTGAATAGAATTTAAATAAAAAATCGCTTTAAAATGTGTCATAGTTGGCAAACACATTAATCCTCATGACAGCTTGCTTTAGAAACTCGACAATAAAATGGTTTCCCTGGTAAATTCTTAATGAATTTCTCAATGAAAACTCCCTTTCCTTACCTCTAGTCTCATCAAATGTTTAGCCAAGTGATCTGGTACGCAATGTTTCAAAGGGATGATATATACTCATTTATTAGAATTTGTTTGCTTGTTTTCAACGGGGTGGCCACATTTGCTACGTTGCAGGCATGCTCGCATTTAGCTGCAAGTAATGTTTACAAATATTGCCACTTAATATAATATTATTAGATTATTTTTTGTGAAGCTCGACTGCTACGTGCATAATATTTGGCGTAGCTAAAGCGTATCTTTAACAATATTTTGGGGAGTTGATTTAATGTGTTCAGCGGCCTTCAAAAAATATCGTTTGAGGGAAATGTTGAAATGAAAAATGAAGTGGAAATGTTATGGGTCTCTCGCTGACCGATGGTGGTCAATTTCTGATCAGAAAGGATTTTGGGGCAATTCAAAAGGCAATAATTAATTAACATAATTGTGATGATTTTACTATTGTGTACCAAGTTACGAGTTATAATAATTCATATTACATCATTTTACACTCTGACTTGGTGACGCAATGTAGTACGTCAGCATTTCGTTTTCTTATCACTTTGTTAATCCACATCTCCCAGCTGCGATAGAGACAACAGGTTTGGTATGGGTAATCTTTTCTGAATATTCCTAACTAATTTCTTGTTTTATTATATCATTAATTTATTAAACAGAAGACGATTCTCACAACGTCCATAACTTATACTGTGTTAGAAGTAAATTATCTTCATATTGTAGTTATCTCGACAAGAACACCTTCAATGCAGTCCGCCTAATTCATCGTCAATCTTAAAATATTCGATTACAATTTTCCATTACCGAAGTAATTTCGTGCGTATAATGACCGACATTTTTCACGCATTAATACGTTGCGGTACTTTTTCTGTGACATGATTGGAGAGTATTCAGATTGATTGCTGATACTCAATCACTCTAATTTCTTTATCAAATTCTCAGCTGACTACACACCAAGAGTAGTTCAAGACGCGAGTATCCTGATTGACGTGAGACGTGAGTATCACTGTTTCAAGACGTGAGTATCACTGTTTCAAGACGTGAGTATCACTGTTTCAAGACGTGAGTATCACTGTACGTGAGTATCTTGATTGATTTCTACGGTACAACTTGACAAGGAAGACGTTCTATAGCCCCATACTTGCAAGGCATGTATAGAGACCTGCTACTGTACACGCTCTTGGCACTCATGACCGTTGAGTCACTCGCCCTTACAGACATTGTAGGCAGACTGTATCTATGCCGTCACTCTCAACAAAAAAAAAAACACAAGTATTTGCTGTGAAATTTATTGATTTTCATGTGATTGCAACGGCAACGTAATATCATCGCTAAATACAGCAAACATGTTCACCTGTTGCTTGCATGCATGGATGTGCTCGCTGTCAGCTGACGGAGCTCAGCCAGACATGATATGCTGAGAAGAATAATATATGTGTAAAAATTACTTTTTAAAGACAACACTTCTAAAGAGTCCAGTGTTTCCAATGTTACAGACGTACAATGAATTTCTAATTTTTATTTCGAATATTAAAAAAATTAATTTTTAAATTGTTTTTACTATATAATTTTTTCCAAAATTATTTATTCTGTCAATTTATTCGTGAATTGCCTCCAACTTCACACAAGTGTGCAAAATTTCAGATCAATTGGAACGGTAAAAGTGTGTCATATATCAATTATAAGATTTGTAGCGGACAAAATTATTTTTTCAGTTTTTTAATACTAAAAAATATATATATTTTTTAAATTATTTTTTTGTCATTTGATTCATGCATTGTCTGCAACTTTACGCAAGTGTGCAAAATTTCAGATCGATAGGATAAGTAGAAGTGTGTTAAATATCAGTTATAAGATTTGTAGCAGACAGACAGACAACAAGAAGTGAAGTTAGATAGAAGTGTTCTAAAATACGGAAGAGAGTTTATAATGATGAATGACGGCCAGAATTTTTCAACCATATATTATTATTGAAACATGTATTGTATATGTAATCTAATTTGTTTCTCTTAATCTTCATCATTTTAACAACTTTGCAACGCACAAATAAGCTTAACGTAATAATACCCTGCAATTAAGTTACTTTTTTTATTCTGTGAACCAGTCAATGTGGAGTCTGATATCGTATATATTTTAGATTTATTTACAGTTTGCGCTTTAATCCCACTATCCGATAAAGAACTTCGCTGATATCATTTCAGGACGCGCATATAAGAGCCAGCACTGAGCGACAAATGTTCACTTGCTCGCCGGACAATGAACAGTGACCGCGGTCATTCTAATAATTAATTCAAGCAGAATTTAATAGCAATAGCGAATATAATAAAGTGGTGCACCACCCTAAAATCATCGCTAGGCCTAAGAGAAATGGCATATAAACATTTATTTTCAGCAGTGGTTAAGACTTTCGTCTTTTTCTTTATCCTCACAAGTTCAAGTGCCCTCGAGGCCGCAACCTCAGAAACAAACGATGGAGTTGTTGTTTGTTACCATGGCACCTGGAGCACCTACAGAGAAGACGATGGACAGTTCAACATAGAGGATATAAACCCATCACTGTGCACTCATGCTGTGTACGCATTTGCTTCGATGGATAATGAGACGTATGAAATGGTGTCGGCTGATCCGTGGTTGGATATAAGCAAAGAAGGTTACAAAAGGTTTGTAGCTCTCAAAGATAAAAATCCTGATCTGAAGGTATTACTAGCTGTTGGGGGTTGGTCTGACGACTCGAAGAAATATTCCGACATGGCATTATCTCAAAGCTATCGAAATACTTTCGTTGCGTCGTCCCTCAATTTCGTGTCGCAATATTCGTTCGACGGACTTGACTTGGACTGGGAGTATCCCGGCAGTCGCGGCGGAAGACCTGAAGACAAGGAAAACTTCGCGCTACTCGCGTCGGAACTACGAACGGTGAGGATCATTTTACATACGCTGTAGTTATCACGATAACGAATACGAGGGCTGTTGTCCTGGTACTTTTTCTTTGGATTGATCAGTTTTTATTCATGGTGTAAGAACTGTGGAAAATATTGCCTACATGACAATAAATACACGATTAATGTCCTAATATCTAACCATTTATGTTGTCTTTGAATTTGCCACGTTGAACGTATACAAAAAAATTTGTGTGCGATTCTTTATTGTTATGTACAAACTACGTACTCATAAGGATTCAGTAGTAAATTTCTAAATGAGAGTCATGTTTTTGCTGCAACTGAAGTGATCCTTGCAGGCGTTTCACAGCAGAGGCCTCCTCTTGACGTCAGCCATTGGGATCGGATCTGACATTCTGAAGAATGGTTATGACTTTGAATCCTTATGTCGTGACTTGGACATGATGAACCTCATGTCTTATGATTTGTATGGATCGTGGGATTCATTCACTGGCCATCATTCTAGCCTACACGCCCACCCGAACCTGGGAGATTCCGGATATGGATTGGTGAGATAATTTGCTTATATATACATATACATTCTGTATAATAAAATTCAAAATCGTGTAAATGGTGAAGAGATAAACTCCTAACCATACACTGTAAAGTCGGCGAAAACAAAAATTTAATGATCAATCAATATCATCAATAGAGACAAAACCATGATCCTGAAAAATTATTTGAATAAATTCAAACTTGATGCATTATATTCAGACCGAAGCTCTGGACCTGATCCGAGAGCTCGGAGGGTGTCCGGACAAGATGGCGCTGGGCATTGGCACGTACGGCAAGACCTACACTCTCAGCGACGAGCAGCTCACTGATATCGGGGCTCCCGTTACCGGACCTGGGCTTGCTGGGCCGTACACACAAGAAAACGTAAGTCCATATGAGATGAATGCTCGATAAACATATACCCAAGAAAACGTAAGTCCTTATGAGATGGATGCCCGATAAATATATAGCTGAGGGATGACTCAGTCCAAACTTTAATATAATATGACCGGCAGTGATGGAGTGTTGATCAGTTTACGTGTTACATAGTTGCATTTGAATTTTTTGACTCCCTCCTCATTTTGTAATATAATGGAAATCATTTTGGGTAAGCTTATAAATTAACTTGATTCGGTTGTTCTGAATTTATTGGTCCATTTAATAAACCATGAATTAATTCCGGTTTTAAAAATCATACAATACCTAATCGTTCATGAATAGAATAAATGAATATGAAATGTATTGTATTAGGAAAAATATACGCGTTAATATGAGTTAAAATGTTTTTTCAATGAACAGGGAACGTTAGGTTTCAACGAGATCTGCCTACAAACCAACTACCAGAAAGACATCGATAATTTCACGATGGCTCCTTGGGCATTCGACGGGCTGCAATGGGTGTGCTATGATGATGTCGAGTCCGTCAGATACAAGGTAAATCTTATCATCTAACATCGTATGTAGCATTAATAAATTTGTAGCCAACAATAACTAAGAGTAATTTGCATTTCATACATCAACTATGGATACATACTGTAAATGCATGTCGCCGAAAATAAATTAGTTTCCTGAATCAATTTCGAGTTTAGACTCCTCCAATGGTACAATCTCATTTTCACCAATTCATTACAGAGTGAATGGGCCTTACGGAATGGACTTCTCGGCGGAATGATCTGGTCCGTCGAAACGGACGATTTCCGAGGAAATTGTGGACAAGGAGTGTACCCACTGCTTACTCAAATTAACAAGGTCATCAGGCCGGAACTTAGCTCAACTCCTTCGACTTCAACAAACACTGGGTCTACTTATGCGCCAAGTACCGAAGTTTCATCCTCTCCTGCAGCTGGGGACAGAAAAATTGTTTGTTACCTTGGATCCTGGAGCTACTACAGAAAAGATGACGGGAAGTTCCTAATCGAAGACATAGACCCGTTCATGTGTACCCACGCCGTGTACGCATTCGCAACTTTGAACGGCGAAACATATGAGATAGAGTCGTTTGATGAGCATTTGGATATCGACTTGGGAGGATACAACAAGTTTGTCCAACTCAAAATTCAGAATCCTGCTCTGAAGGTCCTACTAGCCATCGGAGGTTGGTCGGATGAATCAGAAAAATACTCGGACATGGCTTCATCTGCAAGCCATCGTGGCACCTTCATCCAGTCTACACTGAAATTTGTTAAACAATATTCGTTTGATGGGCTTGACTTGGACTGGGAATATCCTGCCAATAATGGAGGGAGGCCTGAAGACAAGGAAAATTATGGGCTTCTCGTATCAGAGCTGCGAGAGGTACGAATGGAACGAATTTAGTTATCTTTAAATTGAAATTCAATACTAATCTAATGAGATTGTTTGATCCTAATTTTCGAATACTTACGGACAACGAGACTACAATTTTTTTCAGGCGTTCACTCCAGATGGCCTTTTACTTACGGCAGCCATCGGTATTGGCTCCGCCGTTCTTGAGAGTGCTTATGATTTCGATGCGCTTTGTCCTAACCTGGACTTCATTAATTTGATGGCATATGATTTGCACGGACCTTGGGAATCATACACGGCACACCACACCAGCCTACACGCGCACCCCAACATTCAAGCAGGAGACTATGGTTTGGTAAATGAAATTTCTAAGTTACATCAGCTGCAACACTATGACTGATAGTGTTATTTACTACAGTGCATAAGGATCATAGAAGGATCATTCCTTCGTGAAGAATTCAGGTTCGTTTATCTGTACTAAACTTCTTCTGCTTGTTGCTCACAGACAGAAGCGCTGGAGACTATAAAGAGGTTGGGAGGCTGCTTACACAAAATGGTATTGGGCTTTGCGTCATATGGCAAAACTTACACACTTTCAGAACCGGACCAAACTGACATTGGTTCCCCAGTTCTCGGACCTGGGCTTGCCGGGCCGTACATGAAGGAAAACGTGAGAAATTGTTTGAAGGAATAGATGTTCCCATGCAATGTCACTAAGCTGACATATTAGGTTCCAATATTTATAATCTTTACCTAAATCTATCAGGAGAACGCTCGGTAATTTTCAAAAAGTCCTAAATATAATTGCGTTTATTGAATTTCTCATTATGTAATTTCGTCAGGGGACTCTTGGTTACAACGAAATTTGTCTGAGAGGAGAGTACCAACGAGATATAGACAACTTCACGATGGCCCCGTGGGCGTTTTTGGGAGACCAGTGGGTCTGCTACGACGATGTTGAGTCCATTAAAACAAAGGTGAGGTCTTCGTATTCGTCATATTTTCGTACTTGATATTTGAAGTTAATTTTCTTTTCGTCATGTAGGCAGAGATAATTCCTGTAAGTATTTTGATGTTGCGCATATTTTGTTCCAGAGTGAATTGGCGCTGAAAAACGGCCTTATAGGAGGGATGCTTTGGTCACTCGAAACTGATGACTTCCGTGGAAAATGTGGAATAGCTTATCCTCTCCTCACACAAATCAACGAAAGCTTCAAATCGGTGGACAACACATCCACTACAACACCCACCACTACAACACCCACCACCACAACACCCACCACCACAACACCCACCACCACAACACCCACCACCACAACACCCACCACCACAACACAACCTACAACAACCACTGATAGCGCCCGGTTGGTAGCACCCGCTGGCATTGCGGTTATAGTGACGCAGGCTATCTTGCACATTTGGCTCATGTGATGAAATAATCAATGCAAACATATTAAATTCATTCGTTTCAAAAACCCATAAAGTATAAGCACCTTATTTAATTTCTTACTCAAACTGTATTTTTCATTTAGGTCATGTATTATTCTATTATAATCAAGCGAACGGCATTGACGTGTCAGCACGATGCCAGAATGTCCAAGTCATCACAGCAACTCTATATTTACGGCAAATATATTATGCCCATCGTTGTATCGTTGGATTTTCCGTCTACGGGGCTCTAAGCTTATGAAACTTTCTTTCTCTTTAGTCCATGAAATCGATTGCAATGCTTCGTTCAAATTAAGGATGCATCTCTTCACCTCAGCAATACCTGCTTGAGGATTAGATATTAGCTCGTGACAATCTGAATAAAATTGCTCTTCAATTCTGAATTTTTACTGTGCTCCTTCCTGAGCAAGGTTTGGAAACTAGTCACTTGGATCGCCCGCTTATCATCTCATGACAAATCTCTATTGCTAAGGCATATAAGTTTTTTACTTGACTTCTGCTTCCGTCTCGCAAAAGAATACGTTTCCCGTTAAAAAAGGGTATAAAATTTTTCGCCATTTTAGTAGCTAAAATGCGAAGCATCTAATATCATTCCTAGGTTTAATAATTGTTAGAGAAGAAATATGAGATACTGAATTTCCTTATGAATATGTGTATAATTATGCTCAGATTGAAATAAATCTCCATCTACAACGGTGGGATCTCTCATTTCTCGTTCAATTGTCACGCATTTCCGTTTGAGAAACAGGCCCTGGTTGAAATAGTTATCAATAATACGCGGAAGCAAAGCATGATCAGCCATCTTCTTCATTGCGTGACTTAGTGACCAACTGAGGGAGTCTCATTCGATTTTGGAGTGTATCGTATATTTTACTTCTGCAAAATGCATATCTGATATGCATCGTTCCGTTATTTACTGCGGCTTTAGGAAATTTTCAGTGGTAATCCTGTATCCTATTTTGTTGCATAAGAAACTGCTGCATATGCTGGTGGGAGTGCAGCATAAGCATATACGCATAAGAAGAGAAATTATTGAAGTGATCAAAAATTTCGTTGGCGCTCCAAGTATGAACGCGTTCATGAATAGACTAGATAAAGCTATGGAAAAATATATATTCAGATTTGAAATGCCTAGCACCATATCGAATCCTGTGGAAGTCTAGTAGCTACTTCAATCTATCGTCATTCTTGAAAAGATCCGGTCAAATGACACGATTTAAGATCTTCTGTGAACAAGGCACGAAAAGGGAAAGAATCGGCGACAAGCTAAATCAGGCATAAAATTCAGCACCGAGATCATTATGTTATGTTTTGTTAAGATTGTTGAAATATTAGGTACAGTGCCCTAACTGAAGTCAAGCTGCGCCCAAACAGGGGATCAACTGAAGTGTCAATAGCAATTTTACAAATATGTGTACTATACAAATACTGAATTACACGCTGATATACACATTTGGAACTTTTTCCATATCAATGCGTTAAATCGCAATCTCGACCATGTTGCTCCATTTGTCTTTCTGTTTACATTGGCCTGTTGTGTGCGGCCATCGGATGATCGGTACGCAGCTGCTATATGTTACTAATTACCTACTAAATAAATAGTTTAAGTAGTTTTTGTAGAATTTTGATTGATCAATAGACTTAAGATGATGGAGGAAGTTGACGGAACTCTCAGAGTTCAGCAAATTATCGCTCAAGCTGATCGCGAGCTTAAATCTACTCAAGTGGATAAAGATATACCACTGGAGACGGATCCTGGTAATTTGTCAGTCGTCGACATCAACTATTTTGACGAGTCTTGTATGAGGTAAGAACTATGATAGGTATGAGTTTGATCTAAAAACTGTTATTTTGTGATTTGAGCCAGAGAAGTGAAGAAAATGTCTACTCTGCATCTGCTGTCTGAATTACAAATCCAAAATCTTTGATCAATCTAGGTACCTGTAACCTATCTGGAATAATTAGCAGAACCTTACAACAATAATAGGTAAATTTATTATTTTATTTGCAATTCTGAGAAATACAGGCAGAGATATGCTGTTTTTTATATTTTTATAAGGATATATGCAAAAAGCATAAAAAGAGGCTGGCTAGATGAATTAAATACCTAGCCTCATAGCATAGGGTAAACGCGGTATATTCCGACACTTTAAGGACGCATCAAGAAATGAAAAACTATAAAAAAACCGTATGCGTTACGTAAGTTCTGTTGCCTTCACATGACTCAAAACACTTCACTACGCGTCAGCAACGATGAAACGTCACAAAATGTTGCCATATTTATTAAAAAGCCTTTAGAATGGACAGACGTATTTAAAAGTCTCAAACCATAATATTCTTCCTATCAAAACAGTTATTCACTATTTGGTAGAGCCATGTCAACTGTCAAATTTGACACATTTTTCGATGATCTCACCACGTGGCATGCATTGTCTCTCTTTGGATCTCAATATTTTCCTGCTAGATGGCCAAGACCTAGTGTTTTTGCAGTATTTCGACACGCAAATGTATGACGTTTCAACCATCAATGAACGCATGGAACTAAAACAAAGCTTAATATAAAGGAAAAACTAGAGAAGTGACGGAATTACCTACGCTGTCGGAATATACCGCGTTTACCCTAGTGACAAACCACAGACATAGTGAGTTTTAGTGACCAGAGTGGAATTCTAGAAATGGAGGTTCACTTATAAAAAAGCTTTCCACCGAAGGTGGAATGCTTTCCTTTGATACAGTGCTCTGCCAGGTGACTGACTATAAATGAAAAGGAGGATCAAAAGTGGACAAACTGTTTCAATTGGATAGTACCTCAGATTTGTTACAAAATTGTTTGAATGTCTCATGTTTGATAGATATTATCTATTTTTATTTTATTCAATGGACTTTTTGAAATTTTTACAGGCTTTTTCTTTGTAATGATCAAGTTTCAGTTAAGTATTTAGTTAACCAGTACTGTAGTACATATACCATATTTGGGGGCGGGGCTTATGGGCACAACCAATCACAGCTTGAAAGCATCCCCATCAACCAATCGCAGCTTGAAAGCATCCCCAGCAACCAATCACAGCTAGAAAGCAGATAACATTACAATTCCATTAACCAATCACAGCTGGAAAGCTGGAAGGGGCTAGAATCACAATCCCATAGACCAATCACAGTTGAAAAGTGATAGGATATGTAAATGTATATAATAAAATTGACTGGAAGTGGAAAGTTCCTGGACTTTCCAAGCTTTCAGGTCCTGCTTTCCAATATGCTATGTGAACTGGTTAATTTAATATCCCTCTAGAATTCCACACTGTAAATAGTGACAAACCAGAGATTTTTTAGAATCAGTTCATTTTTAATTTCCTCATTTACTCAAGATTTTAACCAATTTCTTAAGTATAATAATGCTGGTATCCATGATACTTTACTGGTCTACTTATAGGACTCAAAAATGAACTTGAGACAGAGTCTGAAAAACTCTCTGCTTTGCCACTATGCGGCAGACGCTAGCCAGGCTAGCCTATCTCCTAATTGACTGTTAGCAAGAGTGCATGACATGATGACTGGACTCCAAAATTTCAAATATAGGAAAAATAGATCATTTTAGTGCAAAGAGATTTAAAAAATAAGTAGAAAAATTTCATAGGGTAAACGCGGTATATTCTGACATCATGGGTAATTCTGACACTTCTTGACTTTTTTCCTTTATATTAAGCTTTTTCTTAGTCCATGCTTTTGTTGATGGTTGAAATAGTGATGTCATACTTTTGCGTGCCATACTATTGCCAAACACTAGGTCTGGGCCATCTGGCAGGAAAATGTTGAGATCCAAAGAGAGACAGTGCGCATCACCCAGTGAGAACATCGAAAAATGTGTCAAAGTTAATAGTTGACCTTGCTCTACCAAATAGTGATAAACTGTTTGTGTAGAACACATGGTGGCAGGGAATTTCATTGAGTACTTATCGGTTTGCAGAAGCATTGCCCGGTCCGGCTGAGTGCGGGGGAGGGTGCCACCAACCCAACAGGGGGGTGGTGGTGTGGCAACCATGATGCTTGCCCCAACGGCGACCGAGGCACCTCGTCTCGCAGATCATCTGCAATTACTTTTTAAACGTTAGTTCTTATTAGTCCTCTCCACCCTTTCTTAATACATAATTGGTTTAGCTTCAAATAATGAAAGTCTCATTTACGACTGGTCTAAAGTCAACCCTAATTTGTGAAGAGCGTCAGGAGCCTGATAGAGAAATAAAATAAAAATGACACTACTTGAAGCCTCGCGGTTCTCAATTACCTATTGAGAACCGCGAGTCTAAACTCAAAATTGCCTCAACAACCTATTAGATATGCAAACTTTTTAAATCTTTCTATTGTGTTACATAGCCTGAGTATTAGGCCTTTGATGGCCATTGACAAAATTTTTCTATGTTGAATCGTTTTTGAGTTTTGGGGGTTTTTGTTAAAAAAACGAAAAGTGGTCAAAGTTACCAGCAATTTATGGTGAGTAAAGCTAGAGTATAGACCTGTATTTTGCATGTTTCAATTTAAGTTTAACTTGTCTAGTAAAAAAATGGCATCATTTTGAAAAAGAAAAGTGGTCAAAGTTACCCCATTTTACAGTACCTATGGTAATTTTAAATTAATTTCCAAGCCGGTCAATGTTACCCCGTCACGGCTGCCATGAGGTGGTCAAAGTTCCCCCATTGGGGGGTGGCACCCCCATTTGCAAACTATGACACTTTCCTAAAATTTGTCTTTCGCATATGTAACTAGAAGAGTTCTACTACAATGCATCAGAACCTGGAGTTATTTTACCAATAAATAAAAAAATTGGAGGGGGTACTCTGACAAGACTTAAATAATAGCTCTTTTTCGTGGGTCAAATTTTTAATTTTTTAACCCATTAGATATGCAAAGTTTTTAAATCTTTCTACTGTTTTACATAGCCTCAGTATTAGGCCTTTGATGGCCATTGACAAAATTTTTCTATGTTGAATCGTTTTTGAGTTTTGGGGGTTTTTGTTAAAAAAAATGAAAAGTGGTCAAAGTTACCCCGCCGGTCAAAGTAAAACCATTTTACGGTACTTATGTTTTGAAAACAATATCTGGAAGATGGGGGCTGTTAGCAGCAACACACTGTTGGAGTCGTTCTCAGAGGTGGGAGTAACCGTAACAGTGAATTCCGATTGCTATGCTGCAACGTTGCAAAATTTCTTGCAGCCCAAGATGGAAAACATTGTTGAAAATGAAGCATTGGGACACATGTGGTTCCAGCAGGATGGGGCTACAGCTCACACATCTGGAATGTCACTCAATGTTTTTAGTTGCATGTTTCCCGGATGTCTGGTGTCTCTGAGGGGTGACTTACAGTGGCCTGCAAGGTCACCTGATTTGAGCATTTGCAGTTTCTTTCTTTGGGGACATCTAAAAGAAAGGGTGTTCAGAAGTCACCCTCACACCCTACCACAGCTAAGGGAATGGATTATTGCAGAAGAGGTTATGGCCTTACCTTGCCATACGGTATGTGTGAAGGTGCTGTAGAAGACTTCCAAGAACAACTCCAACAGTGTGATGCAGCTAACAAACCCCATCTTCCTGATATTGTTTTCAAAACATAAACATTTTAAATGGTATGTTATGCTAATCTTGAGGAAAATAAACTTTCTTCTTTATGTACCTCCATTACTCTTTTATTTTGCCTCAAAACTGTTCAATCAGTTCTGCCCCACCCTGTATAAGCTAGCTAACACATTTAAATTGTATATTGTAATCAATATATAACAAATAGTCAAATTTTTAAAGACTACTTATAGCCTTATAAGAATTAGCTAAGCTGCTAGCTATGTACAATGTATTGCACACTTGATGCCTCTGTCCCAAAAAATTCAATTTATTGGAACCTAATACACACTAAAGGCAGCAAGTTTATATACCAATTTGTCATTCATAGTACGGTACATTTATACTAAACCATGAATAACAATACCTAAATATAAATTGAAGACTGCCACTCAATATATTTAAATATATGATAAAATTTAAAAAATAAAAAAAATCATGATTTTTTTCTAAAAAAATCATGATTTTTTTATAAAAAAAATCAAGTGATTTAATCACATGATTTAATTATTTTGATTTAATCATTGCCAACCCTGCTTTTAAATAAATATGGCAACATTTTGTGACGTTTCATTATTGCTGGCGCGTAGTGCGGTGTTTTGAGAGTGACGTAAAGCAAACAGAACTCAAGTTGCATGTAGGGTGTATTTTTTATAGCCATTCATTTTTTGCTACGTTCTTAACCCTTTTGCGGGTAAGTTACCATATATGTTAATAAAAATGGGAGTAAAAAAAGGCCCCCCCACATCACCGACATGGCTTGGGGCAGCCTGCCAACAAGCTCCAACCAATCACAGATTGTGTACGAGTTACGTCATGTATGACGTAGTGCTCTGACGTGCTCTTACGTCTGTGTGAGCTGAATTAAAAACCAAGTACTCTGGAAAAATGGCAAAACAGCATTTCAGGCCCTCATCGTATTCACTTTAGCAGCTCTAGCCCATGAAGAACTGTATGAAAAGCCAGATAGTTGCTAGTATCATAGTTAAAAACTTGCTTCATCGACTGATTATGATGCTATTTACTTGAAGCAAATGCAAGATGGTGAAATATGATACCTAGGGAAAATTAGTGTGATCATATATGAGCATACGCCTGCCAACGCTTAGAGATGGAAGTGACTACCGTCAACCGGGGCTACTCGGGACAGGCGGGGCTACTCGGGACAGGCCTATGACACGGCGTAAAACTGTTGTAGTA